AGATTTACTGATAGTATCTAAACCTACCGAAAAATAATTTAGATAGCGTAGTCGATTATAATTGCAAAACACAAGTTTGTCTAATCGACAAACTCACTGTGTGATAAATGAAAGGCTTGACTTTTCTCAAAAATCCACGTTTTTAATGTGACTAAGGGGTACTTGTGGTAGTGTAGCGAAATGATACAGTGTATGGATTATACGCTGCACTACCCAGGTTTGAGATGCTCTAGAGGTACAGATGAGACCCAGGCGAGGACAAAACTTCAGTCCACTGTGGATATGAATAAGTTTCGGGAAGCAAGGCTAAGTGAAATTTAATGGAAACGTGAGGTTTAGTCATTTCACAGGGGAGGAAATCCAACTATCAGTCTCTAATGCCCTTATGCAACCTAGGGTGAGTAGAATTCTTATAAGATCTCATCTTTCCAAACTAAATACCCAAAAAGCCAGCATTGGGTGAAAGTTCAGGGTATAAACGAATTGTCCTCCAGAATGCTTCGCATGAGAAAAAAGGTTCTCTAGAGAGAGATCTGCAAGGCATGGATGGCAAAAGGATCGTAATGGATTATGATGTAGAGCAGACAGCCTAAGAGTGCAGGAACGATTGAATGTCGTACACTGTGTCGAGGAATCACCTTCTAAACTAGAATCAGGTCTTGCCAATTATCTATTATACAAGAGCACTTTCACATTTATAGCTGGATTATTCGCGTATAGCTAACCATGGTAACCTAATACTTTTATAAGAAACCCCTTTAGTGGAGTTGTGAACAGTATACATTGTGAATAAAAAACTCTGCCGAATAGGATGCTAGTCTTATAGAGAAGAGTAGAGTGATCGAGCACAGGTAAAGCCAGAAAATGTAATACGGAAAAGGGTTGAACTCACTTTGCGTTCCAGTCGGTGGAAAAGAATTCGGCATCCAAGATGTTGATTAAGAGAACCACCCCTCGCTTTGAGATAGAATGAAAGACTATGAAGAAAGATGGAATAAAAATAAAGACTTAACAAATAAGAAATAAGACTTGTATGAGGAAAGTATGTAGAAAAACTGGGTTTCGAAGAATCACTTGGTAGATTCATGTTGGAATACCTGTCATTTCGTTTGAAGAGGCGAGTGGAAGAGATTCGTAAGTTGGTTGGACCGGAGGCTGTGGGGGGTTGCCTTGGAGCTATAGTTGCTTATTTGTGCAAATACGTCTTCGGCGCACCGCCCTGCGACCCCGATGAATACTTGCTAAGCTTTCGTCCGTCATGTGACGGACATCGTAAAAGCAGGACACCATGATTAACAATAATTCAACAAAAACACGAAGGCAAGAAAGGTGGCCAACATATTCACACAAATCGGCAACCACAACACCAAGGCAACACCCCTAGTCTCCGGTGGAACCAACTTACGAATCCCTTCCACGTGCCTCTTCAAAAGAAATGAAAGATACTCCAACAAGACTTGTATGATACCTATCTAAAGATGTGTCATTATAATAAATTTATAGAAGAACAATTGTAGTAATATAAGAACTAAAGACCCAGAAACAGAAATACGAAGTATTTGGTCTTTTCATTGACGTTAATGATGTCAATCTGATAAAAACCTCAGATATCTAGAGTCATAGAAGAGGCCTCGAGCTAATAAATAGAATATTTCATTTTCATTGTCTAGGGTTAAGCAGCAAGACTAAAGTAAAATATGAAAAACAACCTTAATATTAAAAACTATACTTACCCAGGCGCTAAGCAAGACTTGACTCGGCGGATGCATTTACCGAAATATGAGCCGGGCTGATGATTTTCCATAGAGCTGCATGCTTTTTGAGATAATCTCAATCGTGACCGTCGCATACGGCGCGTTCTGACGATATGCGAGAGGTTATGGTGAGCAGTAGCATTCTGAAGACTAGCAGTACTACTAGAGTTGGAAATGGTATATGTCTTAGAAGTAGAGGTGGCTATTTTAGTAGTAGGATGAGTACATGCTGATGTGATTGCATTTGTTGCAGTAATTGTAGTTGAGTAAGAGTCTTTATGGGAAGCCAGCTCACTTTCGACACTTTCTAAAGCCGTATCCAGCTGGTTAGATTGATTGGAAATCATGATCTTAGATTCATTGGGATGGCCGTCAACGTGAAGGACCGGATTGACTGAGCGTAAACTAGATAAGTCGACGCTAGTGGGTCTAAAAATAAAATAATGAAATTTATGGATAAAAAATTAAATAAATAAAGGGTAAGAATGACTGCAATCAATATTAAACAGAGAAAACAAGGCATTCTCAGCTGATCCAAATGCAAAGCAAAAAAATTAAAAAGACTAAAAATGTGCGAACACTTTAATCGATTTCTCGATATTTCAGTAAAATCTCGAAGCCTAAAGACCTTTGCGACAGACACGAACAAATTTTAATATTGGGGTGTATGATGAACTGACATAAAAACATGAGATAGATAGCGCAGATAATTTTGCCCGTGAGCCAGTTGGGAAAACAGTTAGAACGGAATAGCGATGAATAGAAAACATTGCGGAAAATACTTCACATCTAGGTCATTAGCAGAACGAATAAAATGAGAAAAAAATTGTGAAAAAGCAGGCAAAAGCAACAAACACCCCAAAATAATTTTTCACTGGTTTGCATGTGAATCTGCATGTCCACTGAGTTCGTCGGTGAAAACTGCCCTCCACTAATAAATAAGTCTATCAAGCAAAACCTGGGTTATAGAAACTTGCTGATGGCCTAAAGAATGAAACAGAATCACTATCTGAGTATGATTAGGATTATCTTTGCGAGTTCAAAAAAATAAGGAATTTGAATATTAAAAACTAAATAAAAAGCATTAGATATGGGTTACTAAGTAATAAATTATGTTTGTTTTACTAAGAGTGAAGACATAAAGATTGTTAGGGGATTTGAAAATAATTTAAAGGACCAAAATACTTTAAGCAACTATTTACCTGGGAAGATGCTTGCTGTTTACGATAGAATCGAACAATGCCGATTGACCAGAGAGTGAAGTGTCGACCATAAGCATTTTTGGGACACAGGAATTCTTGGTCTCAATTTCGACTTGGGGTGCCGTTGTCTCAGAGGGGATTTTCGACGGTTGTTGTGCCGTACTTGTCCTTGAAGAGACCAAAAATGATGCTGGAGAGGGTGGAGTTGGAAATGGTAATGTGTCAATGCCATCGATCAGAGTGATTTTTTGGTTGGCGGAAGATACGTTGAATGACTTGCCCGCTGGCTGACTAGCTATAGTTCCAGTCACTAGCTCACTTAAAATGCTCATGGCACTCGGACGCTGCAATAGATCCACATACGTCATGTCGGGTAAAGAAGCCGTAGAAACAACGGGGGAGATGGGGGAATGCGAGAGGATCGAATGGCTAGTGGGAGACTCGACGGTTGGGACAACTTCATCCATATCGGCTATCGATCGATTTGTGGTCTGAAGAACGTGCGTCGGATCCAAGCGCTCTTGCGAATCGCATAAGCTGACCGAACGTGATGAGTCGGACATTATAGATGCAGTAGGAGTGATCGTGATGGCGGTATTTGCAGAGGAATTAGAAATAGTAGCGGCCGCTAGGAAAGACCGTTTGGATTGAGAATCATTAGTAGAATCCGGCGTATTGGCAATTTTGGAGAGGAATGAATCCAGTCTGGCTCGAATAAAGATGGGCTTTTCTTGTTTTGCTGAAGTTTTGGTGGCCGTTGAAGCGTTAGCGTCGATGGTGCCACTACAGTTAGTTCTCACGACGACCCCAGATGAAACAGTGGAATGGATTGCTACTTTCGTCGAGGAAGAATTTGACGTCTTAGTAGTACGCAAACGGGAAGAATAGTGTCCACTAGACAGGCCACATTTACCTCTAGATCTAGTTATAATTTCATCCATCTGCTCCAGGCCTGAACAATGGATACGCCGCTTGACTTCCTCTTGTTGCTGAGACGAAGCCACACCCCTGCGGTGAGCAGAAGCATGGCGACTCGCCCATATAGTTTTCTCTGGAGGTAAATTAGGGAGCGCCGTTGTGATGGGGCGGAGCGAGGAAGTGACTAGGGCTTGGGGCCTAACGATACGATAGGTGGATGCTGAAAGTGGAAGTGGAGGTGCTGGGAGGGTAATGAAACGCAGCAAATAAGTTGAAAGTTTGAGCGAGGTGATGTGATACCAAAAGTATTTGACTAGTATTGAGAAAAGGAAAATTAATTAACATTTTAACCATGATAAATGAAAACCAAAACAATTTTGGAGTGAAATCAGTCTGCTTCCCATTCATGAGTTTCCTACAGTTACGCGCAAAATATA